CAGTTCCACAAAGTAGTGGTTTATTGGAAGAAGCTCTTTGAGTACAGCTTACTTCTAACTAATGAGATACAAAAGGAATGAGGGTTGTTCACCTCGGTGTACATGGCATGTCAGTTCTTAACTATGAGGGTTAGATTTGGTGGAACTAAGGAATGTTGTTCATTAAAACATTCTCCATAGAAATAGCAATAAAGCAGCAAGTGGCTTGCAATGTTTCACCTGTGGGGAAAGGAGTTACAGAAGACAAAAAGAGATTGTCAGTGATCAAAAATTAATACAAGCATTACTGACAGTGTAGTACGAACTGGAAGAATTTAAATTGTTCAAAACAATTTACAAACATCATTTTCCATGAACAATTGTGTAAACTAAGTCAAATTTTGTGAAAGAAAAGATTGAATGATAACAAACTATGTAAATATTTCAGTGAGGGAACATGACTTATTGAAAAATGATTTCTAACTATGATTATATTTCTACATATAATCTGTATACAGTTATATAAAGTATCTTATGAACATCAAAATTTAATTTCTAAATATCTTGGATGTTCCAAAAAATGTTTTTCTTTAATATTTAACAAGTAGCTTTCTCAATACCGCCAAGTAATTACAAGGAGTTTCTGATTTTTGTCATAATTACAAGCAGTTTTATGTATTTACTGCAAATAAAATAAAGTCTTTGTTTGCATATTTGAGTTTTTAATATTACAATTTCATTTTTTAATATATTGGATTTTTCATTAAAAAAAGAAAACAAAAAAATTATTTTTCATTGTTATCTATTCTATAAAACTCAGACAGAACCCTGAAGACAATATATAACAAGAAAACTAAATGATATATCTATAATATTATCAATGGGGTGTTTGAAACAGTAGCTGTGGTTGATTTCCTCATTTTTCAGCATAAGCAGCCCGTCAGTCTGAAACAATATGGTTCCCAGGCTGAATATACCATATAATCCTGTTATAGTGGAACACACCTATTCTATAGTTAATAGACTCTCCCACCTATAATAAGTAGGAGTAGTAGGAGTCGCTCAGGGAGTTGGTCAATCAGTCGATGTCGGACAACCATTAGTCGGATATTAATGTATCAGCCACCACAACTAGATTACTGCGTCATTACCTATTATATCAAGTTCCTAATGTTTTGTACGTCAAACCTATTTTAGGACCAACTTAGTACAAATACAAGCCTCCACTGTGAAACCACTCTACAACAAATCCCCACTTTCAGAATCTCTGCTTGTCAATCTAACACCTCAACTAAGAAACACTTTCCCAGACCCTACTTGATACCACCAAATAGCCAATGGCCAGGGCATCATTGGCCATGGTGATATTTACTAGGACAAAACTTTGTCTCATTTCATTCGATATAAAATGACAGTTTATTTATATGTGAAGGATTACCTCATTTTATTCCCTCCTTCATTTTTTTTTATTTTGAATCTTTATCAATATGATAACAAGTGCTATCATATTACACAAGCCAGGAAATCTCTCCTTCAACAATATTGGCTCCATTTATCCTTTTCAATCAGTCATTCTTCAGGTAATATTTGTTAAGATTTCAAACCAAACCTTTTATTTAGTCCATGGGGGTAGCTTGTTCTAATTTCACATAGAATGATCTACCCCCGTAGACTAAATAAAGTGTTCAGTTTGAAATCCCAACAAATATCACCTGAAGAAGACTGGAGCATATAAACAGCTGAAATGTTATGAGTGTGACAATAAAGATAAGGATAACAGTCTGAACAATGTAAATCTCAGAAATATAGACAGATATATTGATATTTTGACATAATTATTAGAAATTTTCTTAAACACATAATAAAAGTTAAATCTGATTTTATGATCATCTGATTATGAATTAATAAAGAAAGCCTGCTTTAAAAGTATTCAAATTTTATCAGAACCTAGTAGAAGGAAGACAATTATCAATGAGATTTGTAAAAGTGTCATTTGTACTTCATCTTTCAGGCTATTATGTATTTATATATATATATATATATATATATATATATATATATATATATATATATATACATCTGTATCTGCCAACAATGTCACTATTGGCAGATATAGAGAGAAAGATCCAAGCATTTGAGAACAAATGCATGAGAAAACTCCTTGGCATTTTCTATTGAGAACAAAAAAGACAATGAGTTTGTGCGGAAAAGGGTTGAAAATTTTGTGGAACACCAGGAATCTGTTCTCACCACTGTCAAATGGGAAAAAAATGACGTGGTTTAGACACATTACAAGGCATGACAGCCTGTGCAAGATCATCATGCAAGTCACCATTGAAGATGGACATAGGAGAGGATGCCAACACAAAAACTGATTGGACAATGTCAAACAATGGACATGTATGACTGTACCAGAATTGCTGATAACTGCAGTTGATAGACCATTGTGGAAAAGAGTTAGTGTGGCTTCTGCATTCAGATCCACTCTATGATTGCAAAAATCAAGGGGATGATGATGATGATGATATATGCACAAAATGGCTTAAACATTATGATTTGTCTCTTTTTATGCCTTACATAAAAGGATTCATTTGATACAAAAATGAAATGATGTCACCATCAGGCCTTGGTTTATATATAGCAATATTGTCATTGTTATCATAAAAATGACCTGTCTTATCTAAATGTAACTGTTACATTGAATAGTAATCTAGTTGATATGTCAATATGAATCTCTTCACCTCTGTCATTAAACTAAACAACTTGTATCCTGACAACATAAAGAACTGGATTTACTTGCACTCATAAGTCATGAATTTCATGATACTTTAAAGCTTATTTAATTTTCCTTCTAACAAGAATATAAACATTACAACAACAAAAAGAGTTTAGAATTTTTATTAACAATGTTATATAAAAATATCTTACTTTGAATTTTAGTCTTTCACTTAAAATTCGTCAGCTACATAACTCCAGATTTATTTCACGTTTGTCTTTTGCTGTGTGAAGAAGATGGGCAACTATCAGACCAAAGGTAGAATATTAATATCTTTTGGCATTTTGATTTCCTCTTGAAATTAATATTTTTTAAAAACAGCAACAATCTCACTGATTGTTTATTATTTGTTATTTTTCACTCCTTCAATTTGGCTTTTTGTCTTATGGAAGATTTCCTAATAAATTAATAGAAATGTCTGAATAGCATGCAAGTGGGAAAGAAAAAGGCAGCTTTATGCTTGACCAAAACAACTATTGATATGTCTGTACAATTATGCCTGCTTTAGTATTATGGTTATCAAGCCATTGTTATTAAGTTTCCTCTTCACAAGGTACCCTACTGTTGTCATGTATCTTAGTAAGTGACAACTAGTGTGTCTATATATATAATTGGTCTTTTCTACCAGAACTTGATCTTTCTTTCTTGCATTTCGTTTATTCACATTTATTTTCAAGTTTGATGTTTGTTTTCTGTAACCAAGTGTCTTCAAAAATTAGATCTCTTGTAAAACAGTTATGTTTTATTTATGTTATCTAATTATTTTTCTACTTTCTATATATATATATTTGTTCTCAGTAATTTTTGAATTGCTGCATAATTAACTTTATCATCTTTCTCTTATCTATATTTATCTACTTAGAACCAGCTGATGAGTGACCTCATAAAACATTTCTTGGTTCTTGAGTGGCTAACAAAATATTTTTCAAATATGACGTTATACATTGACAGGTCCTGTAACTACTTATGCTGTACTGGAAATTGTGCTGTTTAATAACAGGCCTTAGTACCAAACTCTAGTTTTACATATTTTCACAAGGTGGTAATGTTTATGCCACTGGTTGGCAAATGTGATTTAGACACCACCTAATAAATAACATCCTGTCATTTAAAATGGCAACACCTATCAAGAAATGTTGTACATGTTTCTGAGGAACTATGAAAGATTTTATAAGTTCTGGGTTGTCTTACTTTGGCAGTGATTCAAATTGGATTGTGATTCCAGACAATTTGTAGTTTGTTATTGAAGGCAGTGAAAGTAATGATTGTCCTAAAGCAGCTAACAAAATATTTTTTCACACTAATATTAATCATTCATATTGATATTATAAAAGAACTTCAGGAGGGAAAAGTGAAATTTTTCAGTATAAAACCAAAATCCCATTTGGAAACAAAATAAATGTTAATGATATTGTCTCTTTATTTACTTTTCATCATAAACTGAACAATTTCTTTGTTTTAATTTTAACAATCATCACAATGATATTGGATATTTTAGGTTTTGTTTTTTGGGGGTTTTGTTATTCTGACTGTAAATATTTAATTTTCCTTATGTAATCATTTAAATGTTGTTGATTTACCAAGAAGGCTGTCTTTAGTCTCTCTATTTGCTGTATGTATAAGCCAAGTTCCATCCAATACAGTTGTGATTAGAGATTGAACTATCTTTTATGCATTTAATACTTTATCAAATGAGCAGCTTAAGGGAAAAAGGCAAAAGTGGAACATCTTTTTAAGTAGTTAAAAGGAAGCAGTTAAATCAAAATTTTCTATTATTAAAATAAAGTAATAAATAACTAAATTAATAAACAAATAAGTATATACAAGCAAATAAAATAAAAAATTCAATAACATTTACTCACTTTTGTTTATTAAGCATTAAATTACATCACTTAGCATCTTCTATAGTTTATCTTGACTTTCACAGTTAACTTTAAGAATATTTTTGACTGTTCTTAAATTTCAAAATTGTAAAAACCCAACAGTGTTTTTGCTTGTTTATAAATACGTGTTGTAAAATAAAATCCTTTTATTTAAAGTCTATCAGAGGACAAAACACATTGGTAAAGAATGGATTTTGCTTTTGTCTTTATTACAAATATGTTTTATTTATATCTGAATTTTACATATACATATACATACATACATATATATATATATATATATATATATATATATATATATATATATATAAGAGAGAGAGACTAAAAGTATGTAAAGCTAATGATTATTTCTTCCATTGCAGATATTCCTGACCAAGGCTTTGAGGAATCTGATACAAGCAGTGCGCTCTCTGGCTCTCCTAGACTGCAACCTCATTCAGCACAGACCAATTCTTCCATTGATACACAACATGCTTCCTTGAAACGTAAGAAGGGTGAGAAACCTGAACCAGTGGCATCACCTGTGTTAGAAAAAAGCCAATCACTGCAGACTGAATTGGCCCAACAGCGCCCTCTTTCCATGGTGGTTGCATCTCAGTCTGAAGCCAATGTTTCGCTAAGTCCCAGTACAGGATCTCTCCACAGACAGGTGATCAATTTCTTTTCATTTTGCATAGACTTTCTTCTTTTTAATTTATTATGGATTTTATTGTGGCAAAAGAATTTATTGCAAAGGCAGGTAAACCAAAACAATGTTCAAAGTTTCTGGAATGAAAAAAGTTTTAAACTTGTATTTCATCTGATAACTTCCACTTAACTAATAACAAATAAAATAATAATAATAATGCTACCTATAATTTGTAATGTTATAATATTAGTTTTATATAAGTTTGAAGTCAATAATATAATTTATATAAAAAGTTCAAATTTGTATTTATATTATTAAGTAGACGTATGGTAATTTTCAATATTTGTTTTCTTTACATTTATAGCATATATATATATATATATATATATATATAAAATACGGTAATTTCTCAAAAATAATATGCATTTGTTTACTGTAAATTACAGGTGATAGTAGGGGTACATATTATAAATAGGTTGAAACAAAAACATTTTTTTGTTGTTGATTTATAATAATAATAAATACATACTTGTACTATAATAAGAAAGATATTATCCCAATTTTCATTTTAAATTCAACAATAATGATTGTAACATTTTTTGTCAATAAATTTGTGTTTATCAGTAACTGCATTTTTTATTTAGCGGAAAAATAAAAAATCTATAAAAAAAGCCAATTTTGAAAAAAAGAGGATATCAAGTTAACAATTTATTGAAATTTTAATTTTCATCATCATTATCACCACTTTCTATTATAGAATCAATATCTAAATTGTCATTAAACAAATTATCATTCACAATATTATCTTCATCCTGTTCAAAATTATATTCAGCCTCTTCATTCTCTTGCCAAAGGATATCATCTTGAGAGCCATCCATGGCTGTCGTGAGACAACACTTCTTGAAACCTCTCTTTATAATATTCTCACTGACATTTATCGGGAAAACCGCGATGGTAATTTTCAACTTTATTTTAGCCGCTTAGTTTCGATTTTATTCTTAATGTCAAGGTCGACAAAATGTCTTCGTAAATTTTTTTTTTTTGACAAAATTTAATGATGCATATTATACATAAGCATAGATATATTTCTTAATTTTTGGATCATTTGTTGGGGTGCATATTATTTATGGGTGCAAATTATTTTTGAGAAATTATGGTAATATAGTTTTAAGGTATGCTATATTTATGGGCAAAAGTGCTCAATATCAGTGTATGTAAATATAAAAGTGGACAGTATAGACACAAAAACAAATTTTTACTACATTACTTAAAAATTGAAAACTAAAAATGAATACCTTGTAAAATATCACCTTGAAAAATACAAATATAGGCACTTCTCTTTATTTTAGTGGGTGGGAGTGTAGTAAGCATTATTTCTTGGGGGAAATGAAGGGTGAGGGAGTGAGAAACAGAAAGGATGCCAACAAGTTGGCCAGCTACCTATCTTCTCCATGCATGTGGCTTATCTCCCTGTCAATCCCACAGCATGCAAAGAGATCTGTGAGAGTAAGTCTCGGACGAGCATCAGAGCTCTTGACTTCTCTACTGCTGCAAATGTATTGCTTATTTTCGAGCGTTTTTTTGGTTTTGTATTAAAACAAACACAAAGACAATCCCTCATTGTCAGGATTCCACACCCATGTAATCACCCCCCCCCAACTCAGTTCAGGTTCACAAAGTTCTAACTATGACAATGAATATTGCAATAATATTCTAGTAGTAGTAGGTCACTGGGACCAAACAGAGAGTGAAATTGACATGAGATAAAGAGGGTCTGGAATTATTAGGTTGTCCAGAAAGCCCTGACTTATTTAGGAAGTGGGGAAAAAAAAAACAAGAAAATTTTGTGAAGCAACACCAATATTTATTCTTCAAAATAAAGTCCATCATTCTCGATGATCTTCTGCCAGTATCAGAATCTGTCCCAGATAACAGTCCGCTGGCTTTGAATCAAAAAACTGTAAACAAGATTCTCTCACTTCATCAAAAGTGTTGGATTGCTGGTCACAGGAGAAGTCTGCCATTGAACAGAATAGGCCATAGTCACTTAGAACAGCATCAGGACTGAATGATGGATGTGGAAGAATCTCACACCCTATATCTGTTTGAGCTTTTCCTTAGTCAACCTGGCAGTGTGTAGTTTCTCATTGACTTGCTAAACAATGCCCGACTTCGGTTGATCAAAGCAGGATACTCCTTCTTTAGTTTGTCATACATGTGGTCTAGCTGCTGGCAATGTAACATACAAAACCAATGCTATAAGCCAAACAAATAAGACAATTGACCTCCAAAGAAAAAAAAAACAATAACAAATATACAAATTATGTAAATAAACAAATTAACAAACTACAAATGCACACATAAACACAAGTAAATGTAATAATAATAATTAGCAACAAATAATTAAGTAATCAATAAATAATGAGTAAAAAGCTAAGAAACAATACAATAGTTAGAAGTAACCGCATTCATCTCTACAATTGTTTCTACTTAGTCATCTTGAGAATAATTTGAAATATAACTGTTACTGCCTACCCACTATCTGTTAGGATAATATAATAGATCTTGCTACTTATAATGCACCATTGACCAGCATATATAAATAGTTGAGGCACAACACACATAGCCTGAAGATTGCGTTCAAGCATGAAAGACTATTACTGCTCAATGTTGAACTCAGTGCCCACACACACATACACATATATATATATATATATATATATATATATATATATATATATATATATATATATATATATATATATATATATATTAAGAAATGGATTAAATCCGACAGATTTTTTATTTTTTTGTTTAAACATTATTTTTTAAATGGTTACTCATATTTCAGTAAATGCTTTGTTTTTATTTATTTATTAAACAATATATTTATCTATTTACATCTACCAGCCTGAATACTGAGCATTTATAAAAGAATAACATTGACATTCTGTAATTAAACCAATCATTCTTAACCAAATCCTGCTGAGTGAGAAACACAAAACTTTGAGTGGACCACAGATAAATATTGTGAATTTATATTACTTCTGATTCAATCATATCTACATTCTTATTTTACATTTGTTTTATACAAACTTGAAAAACTAAAAATTATTATTTATTTTTTGTTTTTTTTTTAAGTAGGCCAAAATTTGCATAATTAACTATTTAAAATATTTTTTGGTACTTAAAATCCAAGCAACCAATAACAAATCCAGTTTAAAGTTTTTTAGTTTTTTTTTTTTTTTTTCAGATTTGACCTATCATATTTTATGTTATATAAGAGCCTTCCTATTTCAGCAGGGAATATTAACAAAAAAATCATTGTATGGTACATCAAATGTTATTAGAACTTCATCCATATTTCCAATTTGGCCCAGTTAAAGACAAGTTTGTTTTTAATTTCTACATGCATTTATTACAAATTTATAAAATTCTCATAATGGGTTGTCTTATATGCCATCAAATACAATGCCTCTGTTTGCAGTGATTGATATATTCACACTGAAATGTCTTGTAAAGTTTCAAGAGATGAACAAAGCCGAATAATTTTAAACTTGAAACCTGGACAGTTGGATATTATTTAAAATCTTGTAGATGACCATGTTATAGTCATTTGTTGAGTATAAAATGAATTAAACAGAATTTCATCTCATCAGCTCTTGGTAGTTTCAGTTACTTCACAGTTTTTCAATGTCTTTTGATCTCATTATCCCTGGGCAAATATTGTGGGATAATTACTCGAGGTAGATTTTGTCTGGATAGGCTGAATCAGCAGTCTAATGAACATTACATTAATATATATAATTTTTGAGTAATGCTGTTTTTAATTAGAATTACTTTGTGGAATTTGTAATCGCTTAAATGATGTCCTTTCAGGTGAAAGTCATATTTTTATAAAATAATTACAGTTAACTTAAAAAACAACAAAGTTTAACAAGAGTGTTGGCTCACTGTGTCATGCTAGACAATTTTTCTTGCCAGAATCTATCTTAAATATTTATAAGTCTACTGTTCATGCATTGAACATCTGGTCTGATGCTTCTGCTATGTATTTAGAGATCCTTGATAAAATACAAAGGAGAATTTGCAATGTTATTGATCCTGACCTGGCATCTTGGCTTCAGTCACTTTCCCATTGCTATAATGTAGCTTTCCTGTACCTTTTTCTATAAATATTTTCATGATAATTGTTCTGATGCATTTTACTCTATGGTACCTAGACTTTATGAATTTAAGCACAGTACAAGATTGGTGGCAGTGTCTTGTTATTTTACAGATGAAATGGCTAAATGTAATTGTAAGTTCTATGCTAACAGTTTCTTCTCCCACACTTCTCACTTGTGGAGCTCTCTTTCAGCATCTTGCTTTCCATTCAATTTTGATCTTCAAAAATTTAAATGCAGTGTCAATTGTTAAGTGTTACTTGTGAATAATGAGAAGTGCTAAAGGTTAAAGAAATCAATTTTTGTCCTTTTAATATTTAGCAATAATTGCACTTTGTACAAAACTGGGAATCATTTTAATGTGTATTAATTCTGTTGTCAGTCTTTAAATAAAAACCACATTAATTCAGACAAACAGACAAGTTTGTTGAAACTGTTCATTTATTGGAACTTTGCCAGTCATTGATTCAATAACCCTGATCATTGGCTCAGCTGTCTGGACATAATGCTGCTGCTACTGCTATTTGGCTGAAAGAAAATACAATCTTGTTCTCAGCATAATAGCTGAAATTCCTTGCTCCAATGTGCTGCAAGGTTTCTCAATGATGCCAGTTGTTTTCCTCTCTCTCTCTCTCTCTCTCTCTCTCTCTAGAGACACACAGTTCAGACTAGCTGTTACGTGCTTTTCATGTTGCTAATAATTATGTAATGAGGCCAAGAAAAATAAGAAATTTCCATCCTTCATTATTTTTTTTTCTTTTTAAATTATCAGATAGAGTTTGGAGCTGTTTTTGTTTTTTTTAAACATAAATTGTATTTGTTGCTTAGCAGAACAAGAATCTTAAAGACTGCCTGTTGAACACTGTAAACCAGTATATAATTTTTACCTTTCAAAAATTGGTGTAAAGTTTATAAAGCATTAGACAAGTGATTATGAAATTTACAATTTGTTCACAAGTAGTTAAAGAATGAGGCTGAAAAGTGTAGTTTTCAGTCACTAATGACTGGGAACCATTTTGTTAGAGTATTAGATTGGAAATTATAAGCTCTATAATTTAATCCTTACCAGGATAACATGTTTTATCTGTGTCATAGCAGATAATGTCTTTTTCATAACCAGCATAGTCAGCACTATAACTTCAAAAGAAAAGTGCTTCATAAAATCATCCATTTTATGTCAAAAACTGCCAATATGATTTTTGAAGGAATGTAAAAAAACTTATTTTTAATTTCATGTTTAATCATAATTCTCCATAGATCCCTTTTTGTTATCTGTGAATTGCTATGATTTCTTGGGAAAGATAGTGGAGTAGTTTCCTGTTGCCTTTTATATGATTTTGAATTTGGTCATCTTTCTCCATGATTGGCTGCTACCTAAGGCTACACTGCCCTATCTATCCTGCTATTTAACCCATAGCTAGTGGGAGAAGAAATGGATTCTTGCCTTTCTCAAAGGCATTTGTATAAACATGAATGCAACTGACAGGTGGGAATTTAAACTTTGTACACTATGTGACAGTTACTACTTCCAAAAATGATGCAGTTATTTACTTTTTTATGAATCATTTTTACTATTGTTATTTTTTTTTTTTATTTTTTTTTTTACTATTTTATTATTGTTGCTTTTTATCATGTTCCGAATCTCACCATCTGAGAAAACCACTCAAAATAAAAAAAAAAAAAATAGCTTCTAACCAGACTTGAACTCATATCTTCTATTTCATGAATACCACCTTAACCACTTCTCCTACAGAAGCCCTGATTAGTAAGCAGTGCTCAATTTGCCATTATTCTTCTACTCCTTCCTCTTTCACTTTCTATATCACCTTTGTTTTACTACCTTGTAAAAGTAGAGTTATTTATTTTGAAGATTTAGCTGATAGTCATAAAAGACAGGCTTCCAAAGTATAGGATATGTGTTCAATTTTTATCAAAAGCCACTTTTTTTAATCTCTGATTTTATATGGTTTTCTCTATCAGTTGAAGAATATATGAATCCAAAGTTTCACAATAAAAAGCAACAATAAAAGATGGAGTTAAACTAATAACAAAATAATGCTAGTGATGCAGTCAGCTTTGAAATTGATAAAAACTACTTTTTATGTTATCATTCCACACTGAGATTTTTAAGTATTTCTTTTTATATATTTGCTGGGGGGAAAAAAAGAAAGATTTTATATACAGAAAGAACATGTATTTTTTAATAAAAACAATAGAAATAAAAAATACTGTCGTGAAGTAAAACATTTATGTGCTGTATTTTTTAAAGAAAAATCTGAAAAAATAAAATTGTTTTTTCATCAGCATTCTAATTATCTTTGAATAATTGAAATACTTATGCGATCAAAACTGAATGAATTCTGATTGAATATATTGAAAGTAATGATGATGAATCTCAAACTGGAACCAGATCATTTTTGAAACTACAACACTTATCTATTTTGAGTATTTCATACTAAATTATTTATTAGAATTTAATGAAAGCCTTTTTTATAATAATTCCTTCATGATAATCTTTTTTGTGCTAACTTTATATAAAGACCAACACATGTGCTCACATATAAAGCATTTCATGCTAATTTGATTCTCCACACAACTGAACCATGCCTGAATTTAATACATGAGGAAGACTTGGAGGGTACAACATTCAAAACATTGTGATAAAATATATTAAAGATGAAATAACTGGTCTGAATAAATCAATATGCAATAGAAATGACGTCTTAGGAATTCAAACAAATGACATTCCTATTTGAGCAGGTTTTTACCACTAAAGATTTTTGGTAGGTGCAGCAAGTTTTGCCTTTCATGATCAGGAAAATGTCTTTTATAAAAATAATGGACACTTGACGTGGAGAATGAGAAATATAAGTGCTTCAATTGTGTTTTTCTTGTTTTTGGGGGATTTTTTTGTTGTTTTTTGTCAAAGGATGTGTGTATTTCATTGAAAGAGTTCTAACAAAATCCTGTTGCAAAATGAACATTTCTATTTTTTTATTCTCAAAATGCAATAAATTTGACTGTATTCGGCGCTTAGAAATATTATTATCTATCTCCCTTTATATGTATATTTCCCTTTTGATTGTTTTGCACCATAACTGCAAATATTCTTTGGTGATAATACTAAATGTTTAATATATTAAAGTCTCTTTAGTATTCTCTATCTATATGATGGAATGCTGAATAGTACTAAGCCTGACCAAGAAACCCTCCCTTCAAAATTCTATTTGATCCTTTGGTCAGATTTGGAAAAGTGGGTCAGGCTAAGGATTTTTCAGCACACCTTCATATCTTAAGAGTTGCTACAATTCATAGATAGATAAGTATTTCATTCTACATTCATGGAAAGAGAACAAGAAAAAGTAGTAAAGATTAAAATAAAAAAAAAAATGGTTCACTCTCTGATTGAGACCTGTTAACATCACTGATATTTTGCCAGATTCTCTTTGTAGAAGGAAAGCTATCTAGCCTTGAAAACCTGCTTCATATCAGTGCCACAGCTTGATGATATTCAGTAAGACGTACCACATGTTTTGATACAGTTTCATACAGACCTCTAATTATAGTAACCTTAAAGTTGTCTAGGAAAAGAAAGCATTTTGTTCTTTTCTTCTTTTATAGTCCTCTTTCTTTTCCTGCTTACCTACACCAAGTCTTATGATATACTTGTAGCTACCAATTACCAATAGTCTGTTAATGGCGCCACTAATCTTTGCAGCCTATAGCAATATGCACTTTACTGAAGAGGTGCAATATCAAGTGGAGGAGAGTAAGAGGTTTTTTTTGGGTTTTTTTTTTTAACCATAAAAACAATTACAGTGACCATGTGAATTTAGCAATTAATATTAAAACCGTTATTTAAAACAAGAACATAAAGGAGTAAATACACTGTAACATATTTTTCTTCCCATCTTATTTGTTTTACTTCAGGTTTCATCATTTACTGCAAATAAAAAAAAAAACAGAACTGAAAGGTTGATCAACTGTAAAATTAGAATAAATAACCAAATGATATGCTTCTTAAGGATTTACTTTTTAAAACTGAACTTAATCTAGATTTATCTTTTAAAGCTGTTTATATCTCAAAAACAAATACAACTTGAATGAGACAATATATCCCAATGTGTCTAGAGGATCAATTTGATCGATTGTAGAAAATTGAGAAGAAAAAAAATTAAACAAATATTTTAGCTTATTTTAAAACTGGATCAGAAGTTTTCTTTCTTTAAAGTTCACCAAACAAAATATGTTTTAATAGATATATAAAATCTAACAGAATTTTATCATTATCATTCACCCATACAATGACTGTAGGGTTGCTGCACACATGAGCACCTGACCAGTTTCTTCAATATGTCTTGATTAAAAGCTGGAGAGTTATTCATTTGTGCATAGTGTGTCTTGGACAAGTATATCTATATCTTTCCAGGTCAAACTACAGCCAATGTCCTCCAACTTGAAAGTTTGCCTTAGTCATAGACACATGGTCATTGATTCTAAGAATTTTATAATATTACATAAATGCATAAAGAATTTTAGAGATCTGCAAATTTTGATAAATAGAAAATTATTAGTTTGCTTGGAAAACAAGCAATATCTGCATGCACATTTCATTATCTCTTTGGTTATTGAATATAAAATTTGATGTAGAGAAGTGCATGTAATAAGCTGGTACTTCCATCCAATTCATTCTTGGAAATAAATGGCAGATTCTGTCTGAAATCTCTCTAACTTGGACCACACTTGCTCTACCTAGACATATTATACCTTTGTGGAATGGGGATGATCCCGGGATTGAAAATCTGCCCTTCATCTGGTGCTTAAACATCCAGCATTGGGATTTGTGTCTGGATGAAGAGTGAACAGTTAAAAATTCAGATTTAAAATAACTGAAAAAAAATAGTGATTTTATAAGTTTTTCATTTATATTGAGTTTAAAGTAACACAAAAACTTTGTGAATTTAAAAGATTTTGTTTTAAATTCAGTTTAAAATATCTCCAAAACTTTGAATTGAGGAAATCAATTTTATTTCTTCAAAATGTCATGGAATCGAAGTTAAAGTGAGAGATTTCATGACATGAGGTTTTGAAGTTCTGTAGAGTTTGTGATTTGAAGAACTCCACTCAATTGAAGTTCCACAGAGTTTGTCATTTGAAAAATTCAATTTTTGGCCTGAATTGGAATTTTGGCCCAAATCAGAGTTAAATTGAGGTTTTGAAGTTCTATGGAGTGAATTGAGGAATTCAAAGTTATTTCTTAAACATTATCATTACTGTTTTCTAAGCTGGACCAAAGGTTCCTTTAGTTTTAGATTGGAGGCCAAATTAGCCCTCTGCAGGAACTAGCATAAAGACCACATGGAATGTGGATTTTAAGCTAGTAAAAAATAAAAGGGAAGTTATTATTAAATATTTTATCAATATTTCTTTCACCTTAATTCATTTGTTTTTTATTGCAATATTCAAATCATCATTCTTATTAGATTGCATACATCAGAAACAAAGAATAAACCTATCTTTTGGAACATCTCTTAGAGCTGCCATAGAAATTAGGCTATGAAAGTTACCAACTTCAGTCATTCAAACATATACCTGCATTCCTTATTCTCCCTGACTGTTTGGTACATCACCATCTTTTCTTAGATGTGCTAAAATGACAATCTCAGAATTGTGAAAAGAAAAAGAAAGAAATTAACAC